TATGAACTTATTAGTTTTTCAAGACGATAAACTAGTCAAAAGTTATGAAGAAGAAAGTTATCAATAAATAAAGATTAGTAAAGCTGAGTTGATGATTTTAAGTCAGGAGTTTAAATCAAATTATGACAGATAAAATCATTTGGGAATGTAATATTAGTTATCAGCATCAATATAGATAACATAGAGTGAATAAAGTAATAATATGAGTAATAGTCATATCAAATATTTATAACAATAAATAATAATCGATTAATTTTGTCCGATATGTTTGATTAGAATAAAGTATACATAGAAGTAAAGTAAATGTTGCAACTTAGTACCGAATTATAAGCAAAGATGGATAGTGGCTAGCAGTGGAATCCAGAAAGCGCGTTTCGTCCTATTTGGGACTCGTCAGCTGGATGTACCTGCATCTCAGAGATGATGTTCACTCTGGGACTCGAATCCAGTACCGTTCACTACAAACGCCATCGCGTTACCCACTTTTATTATTATATACATTGAAATGCTAGATATTTCAAAAACATGTACAAGAAATTTTTTCATTAACATTGATCAGCTTTTGATTGACTAGCCTTTCTTGTTTGATATCTATTTTCATAGTATAGTCATATTTAATACTTCAGTTTTGACGTTGATGGCTTTCGTCCCTACAACTGACAGGCACAAAGATCAAAATATCTATCACTGTCATGATTCTGGTCATAACTTCATATTCGTCTTATGGCACGTTTGGACTAGACTGATTAGAGTCGAGTTGTTTATCGTTTTGACTACACTTTAGCTCAACCACGTTAAGAGGTATACATCAGCACAGAATATTGGTTAGTGTAATTTTTTCCATAGAAGCAGTTAGAATTATAATTATGAGAGTGCACAGTCTAGGTACTTCATTTTTCGGTGTCGTCACTGGGCGTAGTAAACGTAATTTTTCATACGTGGACTTAATATTGAGTTGCAAGTGAGGTTAAAAATGAAGACCATTGAAAGCCAGCTCAGTGGTTTAGAGGTTTTGCCTGAGGCCCGAAGGTCTTGGTCTTGATCCGACGTGGAGCTGTGGATTGGCGCTGCTTAGGTGCATCGAGCTGTTATAAAACATCTGTTTTGTGTTTTCTGGTTAGTAGCTAAATAATATTTAATTTTTAATAACTGGGTTGGTTATCAAACTTATTACACGTGACATAACTATCACAATTTTATTAAACGTTTATCGCAACTGGTTTTCATTGCTGTAAACGTGTGAATTTTGATTTTTTTTCATGGAGATGGTTTATTATTTGAATACAAATGTAAATTATAAGAAAAAGAATCGCTTCACTGAGCGGTTGTGTTTTGTTCTTTGATTCAATGAAAATGGTTTTAATTACTCAAAATATTAAGAGAATAATATATGGACGAAGAATGTTCTCTTCAGGCTCTACAATTATATATCCAGATTGATAATCTAAAAAGTGATCAGGCTATTCAACTTTCACTTTCTTCTTCAGATGTAAACCTAGTCCCCGTGTGTACTTCATTAAATTGCTGAGATCCTCTAGTTATGATATTCCATCTTTACGGAGGATGAACGTGTCGCCCATAAATCGATAGTAAAATATGAATTTTTGAATAATCTTTTTAAGTAAATCATTTTCTAGTTTGGCTAGAAAAATGTCAGCTAGCAACCCAATTACAACTCCATCTGTTTGTCTGTAGATTTCTCCTGTATAAAGTAAGACAAACTACTCAGGATGCTGAACGACAGTTGTAAATATTGAAAGGTTTACATAAGTAATACATAACACTAATCAGAGATGGAACACCTGGCAGCCGAAGATTGGGAAGATCGAATCGAAGAGAACGGGAACAGAGTGTAATAGTTATGACAATGAATGAACAATGAAGTTTGAGACAGTTGATGGAGGATTAGCAAATAAATTATTGAATGTATGGTCTTTACATTTTATCAAAGAATTCTGTGATCTTGTACTAAAATACATTGTTTGTACACACCTGAACTTACGTTCGCCATATATATGGTTATAAATAGATGAATACTTTGTTACTTAATAAAGTATTGGGAATAGAGAATGGTTTGTACCACATTTTATTCAAAAGTTAGGCAAGAAGCTTTGAGTGGAAAACAAATTGTGAATTTTATGCTTTAATGTTTCTATTGATTATTTTTACATATAAAGTATTAATTATGATTTGAAATAATAAAAACATCAGCTTTTAAACTATAAAAATGATCTGTTAGCAATTCATAATCAGTGATGAAAAATAAATTCAGATTCTTCTAATTAACTTTTTATTATTTGTATCAGAAATGGGTGTTTATGGATATTATAGTAATTTCAATAGTTGATATTATGAGTCAATTGAAGCTAGACCACCACGGAAAACCTGGAACAGTTGGACGGTCGTGTCGTCCTATTGTTGGACTCCTCAGCAGTGGTCATTAACGATCCCGCCCCGCGAGATTCGAACTCAGGACATATCGTTCTCGCTCGCGCACCCTTCTGATACAAATCAGCATATGCTCACTAGTGACTGGCTTCAAGAGGTATTTTCTGAAGTTCTAGTGAGAATTAGTGACCAGTAGAGTTCAATCGGGTCTGTTGTAATATAGTAACTCGCTGAAAATAATGGTAGATGTGTCGTTCAATTTTGTTGATTAGTTGAGGTTAAACATCAACACCGTTGGATGTCGAGCTTAGTGGTGCAGTAGTCAAGTGCTCGCGCGCGAGACAGATAAGTCCTGGGAGCGAATCTCGTGGGGCGGAGTCATGGATGTGCACTATTGAGGAGTCCTAAAATAGGACGAAACGGCCGTCCAGTGCTTCTAGGTTTTCCATGGTAGTCCAGATTTAAATGACTCATGATCTCAACTATTGAAATTCTTATTATTTATTTCAAATGATTCTGAGATATATATTTTTTTGATGTAAAATAAAAAGTTCGTTTTTAACTTTGAAAGCAGTAATTTTTATTATTGTTAGAAACAAATTGTCGGCTCCCAAAATACAGAAAGTATTTATGTTATCCCAGCGATAGCGCATACATTAATTTCAGAAATAGATAAATCAGATAGTTTAAGCCTGACCACGTTAAATAATTTAGTTTGTATAAGGTTGAATATTTCTTAGTTATGATCATAAAAAATTTCTGGGTGAAAAACGATAAGAAATAAAAATAAGCAAAACTGAATTGATATGAGACAAACAAGCAACAAACAAACTGAGACATGATCATTAATTGTAACTGTAGAACAAAGTATTATATCATATGATTTTACATCATTAAAATGATCTCTTCATTGCACTGGACGTGCAGCTTGATCTGAAAGCATCAATTTAAATGAGATTAGTGTTAGAAAATAATTGGATTTATACCTATGAATCTCAGTCAAGAAAGTTGATGTGTCGTTTATTTTCAAATTTATCTGAGACTGAATTGCTGTGATTTGACACCATTGTTCAACATTTTGTATATCATGGAAATTGGTGGCTAATTCTTTAAACTATCTTGCAGTACTAAATAATGCAAACTTAGGTTTTTCATTTAAATTAGGTTTCTTTTGTCTACCATTATTCCTTGAATATTCTCTTAGGTTAACTAATTGTGTGAAAGTTTCTCTGGTTTAATGCATTTTAATTATAAATCGTCTTAGCAATCATACTGTATTTGTCCAGAGATTGGACAGAATGTTTTCATCGATAGTGGTGTGTAATTATTTATGTACGTAAATTCACAAATTTGTACTAATTTTGTTAACTTTTTAAATGTAGTTTCTCGAGGCTTTACTGAAGCTCTTTAAATGTGATTACAATTCACCGTAAGAAAAATATGTTGGGATCCATCGATTAAAATACTTGGAAAAAATGTGCAACTAACCGATGGCGCACCCATTTAGTATGGAATTTAAACTAATGATAAAGTAATTAAATCACTGCGTCGAACACTATTAACCAAATAGCTGTTCTAAATCTTTTGGAAGCTACAGAAGTAATAAGTATTGATGAATGTAAAGAAATGTTATCTTCTTTTTATCCCTTTACTCTGACAACTAAAGGTGCAGTTTTACATTCTTGGCTCATACATCATCTGTCTTATATTATTAGGCATTATTCTAAAAAAATGAAATATGTGTTACAAAAGCCATTCTTGTCACACAATTGTTTGCATGCTATTATTTAAAGTGTTCCACATTCGTCAATGAATTCCTTCTGAAAAATTTCTAAATCCTGCCTTCATATTAAAAGTATTTTAATGGCAAGAAACCATTAGTGTATCTTGATGTAAGAGATTTTGAGGTATGATAAAATAGTGAATGTTTTCGGCATCATCTCAACTTTAAAGAATTACTTTAGTTTTTCAAAAGTATCCTTAAATCTTTACAGTCATAGTGCATGTAAATATTCACATTCAGAACAGAAGTTCAAACGATAAACTTAAGTTGATTTAATTATGAGTCATATCTATTAGAAAGAAAGTATAGTTTTGATTTATTATGACATATTATCAACCATGTTTCACTCTCTAATTGTCTCATTGATGTGTTTGAATGCAATCATCCAATGGTTCACCATATTATGTCACTTCAAGATAAAAAAATTAAACTTAAATAATTTCCATAAATCCATTATCTCGAAAATTAATTTCAATATTTAGTTTAATCTAAATTAGGGGTTTATTTATAAAAAGAAACAAAATACAATGATTTCAATTGTTCAAAGGAATAAAATAAAACAAAAGGTCATTGAAAATTGTCTATGTATTTGTTAATTAAGGAAAATAGAACAAAATTCTTCTTTCATCAAAAAGAAATAAAACAAAATTATCTTTAAAGTTAATCCAAGACAACAACAACAAAAAATTATTCGATATAAAAAATGTTACAAATATTAAAAAAAATTATTTGATTGGTTCACATTATTGACCAATCAGAAATTATTTAGTTTAAATATATAGAGTAAATGATTCTCTATAATAAATTATTTAACTGAAATAAATTGTCAATGGAAAGTTTTTCATTGATTATTTGTATTATAATATTCATTTGTATTTGTTTATTTTTATTTATTTTACATCAACGAACAACAAATTCTAAACAATCTTATCCGTATACTAAAAACTTACGTGATACATATTTGAATTCATCTATTATTAAATGTATAACATTATGTAATAAATTATGTTATTTTATTAAAACAACACATAAACATGATTTTAAAGCAAATAATATCAATATTAATATAGATCCTAAATGTAATGATAATAAAATAATCAATCCAGTAAATGTTCATATCTCTTCTTCAATTATACTTGATCCAGATCATCAAAATAATAACTTAACGTATGAAACAAATAAATTTATTGAAAATTATAAAATATTTCATAATCCTATTTATAATAATAATAATATTAATATTTATGGAAAATATTCACAATCATCCATGACTATATGTCATGATCTTATGAAAAATGTTTTAATAAAATCGAATTCAAATATAAATTCAAAAAATTATTTTGTGCATAAAACATCAGATTCATCATTTAGTTGTAGTTATTTAAATGATATTTCAAATCCATTTGATGTAACTGATAACAATTCAAGTAATTTAAGTAGTTTATTAGATAATATACCTCAGCATAAAATACATTTTAGTAATAATAATGCACGTAGATTAGAATGTAAAAATTCACGAACTAAAATGTTAGCAATGAAATATAAAAATTATTTATATAGAATAAAACAAACATCTAAATATAATGAATTACATTCAAGATTATATGGACTATCTAATATAAAAACAATGTAAGTTATTTATTAGATATTTGTATATTAAGTATTCTAATTATCATCATAGAAAATGCCATCTATGTAAATGTTTATACACAAGGATGTGTATTTATAATTTATTTATGGTAAGCAAAGATGGATGATCGCTAGCAATGGAATTGAGGAAGCGTGTTTCGTCCTATGTGGGACTCGTCAACTGGATTTATCTACATCTCAGAGATGATGTTCACTCTAGGACTCGAACCCAATGCCATTCGCTTCAAACGCCATCGCTTTATTCACTCATCTACTAAGCCCCGATAGCCACTTGCTTGTGCAATGGGGTGAATTTGAATTCACTTGGTATTGTTTTGCCTGTGTCTTCACATTAAAGTTTAGAGTTTAATGGGAAGATACAAGCAAAACAATACCAAGTGAATCTATTCATAGTAAGTTAATTAAATGAGATAACATTTTATTCACATAGTAATGTTTAGGTAATTTGTAAATCTGTTAGTTAATTACAATGATATCTCTACATGAAAAAATCAGTCATGTTGCGCTATACATTGTAAATGCTTTGGAGTAGTCGTAGGGAAAAACTTTTATAATTAGGAAGTTTAAACTATAAAAGCTAATAGATTCAGGAAAAGTTCTCGAGGTATTGGTGAATAAATTAACAGCACTAAGCTTATAACACATTATGACTTATCAGTATAGGTCGTCTAGTGCTAACAAGTTTTCAGTGGTGATCTAACATTCATTGATTCATGATCTCAATCATTATGACTTGACAATATCAAAAAAATGACAGTTTATCCCTCTGCAACTTATTTCACAACTTTTCGCCAGATAACATGGTGCTTTCCAAACCTTATTAAATAAAATCATACCCCAAGAGACTTATACTGATTACTGGCGTCTTTTGCGATCATTATCCAAGAAAATTAATGCAATATAATATTCTTTTTCGTGGTTTAAACTGCTTAAGAATTTTTATCATCAAGGTTAAGTTTAAATCTCATCAAATCAATATACATGGAATACGAGTGTTCATTAATACCAGAAAAATCAACTGAAATGACAAAAATGTTTAGCTAGTATATACTTTCTTATAGTAACCAGTAATGAACTTGATAGATTAGGAGTTATAATACATTGAAGGATTTCTTTTAATTTCCATGAAAATACAGTTCATTACGGATAGTTTTACATAGCCTCAAACTATTTATCTAAAAATTTTTATTTTTATGAACCTTTTATTTTGTGATAAATATGACATGAAGATCTAATTTTACACAAAGTTGTATGAAACATTATTAGCATTTTAACATAACATCATCATATATTGAATACTAATAAATACTTGAAATCATGAGTCAATTGCAGCTAGACTAGGACGAAACGGCCGTTTAGTGCTTCCAAGTTTTCCATGGTGATCTAGCTTCAATTGACTCATGATTTCAACTAATGAAATTACTGAAATCTCCACAAAACTTCTGATACTAATAAATAGACAAACTATATACATTTACATTAAGTAATTATTTGCTTAATTCGTCTAGGTTAAAATGTTTAGGTTTTATGTACTAATAAATTTAATTGACAGTTCAGTACCTGTAGATTTTTTAATACATATGATCATAATACAATTATGTAAACTGTTTCATCTGATATTCAACAGATACTTATTGAAAAAGTACATATAAATGATAAGGCATAGATTTACACTTTTTTGTCGGATTACTTTGAGATATAATGTAAAAAGATTTAAAAATCTAATCGATTTACTGTATTAGAAAATATTTTTTAGGGAAATATGGGAAGACTACAATTTATGAACAAACCAATCAGATTTAAGAGAACAAATCTTGGATTTTGGCGCGAAATTCATTCATCCATTTAGCTAAATAGCATATTGGCATTTCAGCTGATATCAGTTCGAAATGGAAATCATAAATCTAATTTTTAACCCTAATTGTCAACTGTAAATCGTCATCCTTATTCTTTACATAGATTTATAACTCTTATTTAACTCTAATAGGTAGGTGGACATTCTTAAGGTCACTGTTGCGTCGCCTAAAGGTCGTCCATAAATTATAGTCTCACCGAAAAAGTTTTTAGTTTATACCTAATGATTTTTGAAAGAATAATGTTGAAATAATTATTGGAATCCTTCCATGATTCTACATATTTGTTTTTGAATTGATATTAATTATGGAAAATAAATTTAAGTTAATTTAATGAATTTTGTTATGGATCAACAAATTACTGAGATTTTATAATCAATAAAAGATCACAACAATCCTAGCAAAGAAGGATCAACTACAGTTAGTCTTTTCTAGAATAGTTTAGCCTTCTTTTTTCCAGAGTATATTACTAGAAATTAAGTAGTTTCTTGTCAATATATGTAAACTTTTACTTAACATTAGTTGATTACTAAATATGTTTATCTTATTTAGATAAGTAATTGTATTATTTATAAATACTTTAAACCTTTCCAAGGTTACAATTACTAAACTCTTGGATTTAAACTATAAGTAAGACTTTGTTCTGTCATTCAGCCGACGTTTTTTGAAACTTCTCACACTGCTCATTGTTCTTGAATTATTAGATCTTAATTCTATGAAAAATTTGTTATGCCAACTGTGAATAAGTGTTGTTGGATTTTTATTTAGTAAGTAGTTAAGTGCAATGCCTTAGCTCCAATAGGGTAAAGTTTTGTGACTCGTATTCGTCTAAGTTAAATAAATAAAGCATTTCAGTGTGTTTCAAGTGATTAGGTTGTTGGTATAATTATAGAAAATAATTATTTCAAGATAACACCCCTAAACCTACATGGTTTATTCCTTTCATACTCTTACGAATAAAACAAATGAGCTTTTACGTTACAATTACCACTCTAAAAATAGTCTCAACCTTATCACATCAAAGGTGGACAACACATCATTCCTGATCAAGAGATAAGCAATTGTGAAGTAATTATTTGTTAGTTAGCCATCAGATATCGTTCTATCACTTCAATTGTTATTTTATTAATAAATGCACTATTGTAAACCTGTTGATTGAAATTGTTTATGTGACTTTTTTTAATCTCTACTGGCGTTCCATAATAACATTTAGTATAAGGAGAAGTTAGACTTGGCTTAACAGATACAAAACGTTTGTTTAAAAAAAAGCAAATGTTTACTGTCTAGTTAAACAAGTAGGATGATATTTAGTCCAGATTGGGACTTTTCAGTAAGATGCATCAGCAACCTCAACTATGATACAGTCAAAGATCTTCTTTTCTTTGCGATATTGTGATACCTTTACATTTATTGAGTTACATTCTTAACTTCAATCCTGTTAGCAGTTGTAAATATCATTCACTAGGTAGAACAAATTTTGAAGGCCTGATCATGTATTTGTTAGATATTTATTTATTTATTTGAGCGCATAAACATTGGTACAAGGGGGCATCAAGTACAATACACACAATGAAAAACGAGGTCATTAGTAGTTATCATTGATTTTTTTGAGGGCCGTGGTACTCGAGCCGAATCAGGTGGTTTTATCAATGGGTTACACCCTGATCCTTTGCTCTACAGGTCTAATCCACAAGGCAGTGGAGAAACGTTAGGAGATGCGGTCTCATGATAGCAAGTGATCAACAATAGGTTCATACGCTATTTGTACCCTCAACAACATGGAGCCCAAGTGCACCATCGGTTCGGAATCAGGGTTTTCCAACTCCCCTATCTATCAACCCTTTTCAAGCGCCGGACATCCGCGTTTCCTTCTCTTAATTTTGTAAACGACACCCCTGCTACGACAAGGAAGTGAGTAGGACTGCCCTGAATGTGTCTGTATACGCGTGTCCATGTGAGAGTATTTAAAGAGGGAGAGTAGACTCTCTCCATCCTCATCTGTCCCTGGGTATTCGGAGGCATATTAGTGTTTTAATCACAATCAAAAACTTAAAAATCTCCACAACCCCATGTCGATGATTACCATGTGCTCACTAGTGACTACGTGAGGGAATTCTCGGTGTTCCAGTGAAAAGCCGTGACCAGTGGAAACCAATACGTGTCAGATAGAGACAGCTATCTACCTCAGACAATGCATGATGGTCACACAATTTCGTGGATTGGTTGAAGTTAGACATTAACTGTTGGATGCCGATTCAGTGGTCTTCAGGTTAAGTGTTCACGCGCGAGATTAAAAGTCCTGAGTTTGAATCCCATGAGTGGGATCGAGGATGGGCACTGCTGAAGAGTCCTATACTAGGATGAGGCGGCCGTCCACTGCTTCCAGGTTTTAAATGGTGGCCTAACATCAATCGATTCATGGTCCTAATTAAATATGTAGTTTACTTGGCCAGTTAAGAAGAAAGTAAAAACCTTAGGACAGTGTACAAAGCATTCAGATATAGTACAATATGCACGAAATCATAAGAAATATAAACTTAGGTTTGTGAATATGTTTGTTTTGTAGATATTGTATCAAGCCTGCCACTATTTATGAGATGAACAGATTTTGCTGAAATAACAGAGACATGAGCCTCAAATCCCATAGTTTCAAGTTTATAAATGATCTAAGTATTCTTCGGATATTACACAATGTCATCTTTGGAGATCAGGTAAATGGCAGTTATACTGCAATATTAGTTTGAAAGTTACTGTTTCTTCAGTCAATTGTAGTTTGCTTATGTGTATACTGCTGAATGATTTGATATTCTGGATAAATTGAATCATTTAGTAATCGGTTTCGATTTAATCATTATCAATTTTTATTTGTTAATTCATTGATAGTGAATGTGTTCAAAAGCAAGAGATGGCTTATGTAAACAGTGAATCCCCTTGGGTGAAGGCAAATAATACAACACACTGTAGTTCAATCATTACAGGCCAAAGTAATCAATCTAGTAAGTCCATTCATAAAACAGGTTATAAAAACATAAGCTGACAAAGTAGATGTCATTATAAAACATCCCTATTGTTCAATTAGGCAACTGTGGCAGTAGTTTATATTTAGTAGGCAAATTACTTTCAACTTGGTAAGCTTACTGAATTACACAAACGAGATCAAATTTATCTATCTGAGAGACAACGTACAGTGCATTATGTGTAAACGGAACCATTTGTCTTAATTTCAAAGTTTGAATTTAGGTATGTTTAAATATCGCATTTACGAACAAGAGCTGGGGGCGAGAACGTATTCTCCATCAATAATAGTCGTCATAATTGTTTGTGGACTGGGATACTGCATATATGCCCGTACGGACTCAGGCAGGTTTTTTAGGAGCCATTTTGTGAGCTTTTGATCTAATGACATTACCCACAAAACCATGGGTCAACGTGAGAACATCCCGACTAATAATAATCGATGACCAAAAGAAGGTTTTCGCTCCATTTCCTCCCTCAGGATTTTGGAGCTATTGTCAATTATAGATTTGGATCTAGTGCTTACTAACTCCCTTACGTGAGACCTCTTTGTGAACCACCTCTGTTTGATTTTTGCTCTCTCATCCTTACAAAACAGCTCTTCAAAGTAAATAAAATTACTGAAACTTTCCTGACAGTGGCCATGAACACAGACGTATGCTGGCATTTTGAGAGGGAGGGCTGATTATTTGCACTCTCGGCCACACTAGGGCATTTACTTTTATCCTTTTATTAAATCTTCATCATGTTTCTCTTTTTTATTTCATCTATTCAGAGTATCATTAAATAACTTTGAAGTTCGCGATGTAAATGTAATAAGTATTTACGAAAGAGATATTAAACTTTCGTGTACTGAATGATATTCGGTTGACATGAACTTCATGACTAGGTATGAATAACTGAGTAAATTAATCATTATTGTTAATTATCATTTTACCTTTATATCAAACGTGAGTGATTCTTCCAGTGAAGTAATTGTAAACCTGTGTGAACAGCATATGTACACATAGATGACGTTTATGTAGAAAACATGATTCCACAGTAAATTACAAATTCATCAGTGAAGTTTTAATTCCTAACATTCTTTTTAAGTAACTATCTGATAGTTGCACTAATGTAAAGCAAAAAGGTGTTTCAAATTTGAGAACCTTTTTTTGTCATGCATAGAAGACGTTTTATCTCATATTGATTAGGCTCTATACTGTTCTCACGAAAAGAATGTAATAATGTCATTCTGAGAATTTCAGGTAGAATCATTAATAAAGTGCTATGTTTAATAAAAGTGATGAATTACCAATTGAATGTTAATTTCACAAATAATATAATCGTATATAGGTGTTGTTAATATATATATATATATATATATATATATATATATATATATATATTTTAGGTTGCTCGAGTAATCAGGATGAAATTTTACTGTCTATCTGTCCGAAAGCACGTGATCCAACTAACATTCTAGCCGATATGCATGTTCCATTGAATAAAATTATCTTCAACAATGTGGTTCTGCAAGGTAATGATATTTTTGTGTGACATATGGAACAGTTATGTGATTATTACTATCAATCATTCATTAAGTAATTTTAAAAGTAGACTTTTAAGACATATGGCTTCGTTAAATCAGACCACATTTAGCTGTTTAAATAAGGTCAAACGTCTTTTCTTATTAACGATTAAGTAAACTAGAAGTGACTCCACTGGACCATTATGAAATATCGTAATTACTCTCTAGCATTGTATGCCAGAATAAATCATTATTTTGGACTAAACGGTGTTTGAAATAACTAATGGAGTTCGTGGTTAGTGTAATCAGTGATAGGATTAATTTTAAATTGGAGTTAAACGCAAAGATCATACTAATAATTTTACTAAACTTTACAGATGTCTGTTTTTCATTTATTACTGCAATCAAGTCAAATGTTCTTCACGTAAGTTTCAGTTATTGCCTCCTACAGTGAGCTTTTGGCACAAACGGCGAAACGAAAATACTTATACAATATAGGCATTGTGCCTATACTACAATAATTTTTCTCTGCTTTACTGACAGAAGACTTTAGTGATTAGAAAAAAAGTAGCTAAGTGCTCGTTACTGTTATAGATTTGTTTTTCAAGATTCTCTAGTTAGCCAATTTAGAGTATTAAGTGAAATAATCAGTAGTAATTAATTTTATAAAATTAACATACGAGCAAATGTGTAAATACGATAATCTACGCAACTTAATTTTCATGTACATGTATAATCTGCTAGGAATCTTTAAGTGAGTAACGTAATTGGATTGCTCGAAGCTGAAATGAAAACACAACGTAAATTTCCATAAGAGTCTATATCGTAATAAACATACCTTTGATCTAACTCACGTGATGAAATTTCCAGTCGACCAGCATAAATCCATAGATAACTGTGTACTCAACTTTTATACTAATTAGTAAGCATACGTGACAAGTGTAATCGATTAATTTGTTCACATAAAAACAGTCCTCAACCAAACAGTCTGTATTGAACTGTAAACCAAATAAATACAGTATTTTTCTAACTGGCAGTATAACATCTGATGATTTTTCATACAGTTCAAAAAGTTAAAAGTTATTAAGAAAAACATTGGTCCTTGTAACCAAAAATGGTTGGTGACTAGCAGTGAAATACAGGACGCGCATTTCTTCTTATTTTCGATAACGCTATGGCGTTTAAAGCCAATAGTAATCGGTTTGAGTTGCAGAGTGAACATCAACTCTGGGATGCAGATACATCCAGCTGACGAGTCCCAAATAAGACGAAACGCGCAGCCTGGATTCCAGTACTAGCCACCATCCATCTTTGCTTATAAAGCTCCTGGCTTAAGGCAGTATCGAGGAAGTTCGCACAGAAAGCACATATGTCAACAAGAGATTGATCAATTTGTCTTACATAACAATTGGGAGATGCAAGCAAACAATACTAAGTGGATTTAACACTGATCCTTTTTCATAAAAAACAGAATTCTAAAATGATGCGTTTTGTTTGTTTGCAACTAATAAAAATATCACTGTTTTATTTGGTGAAAATTATTATGATTTAAATCATTCTCAAATGTGTCTATCTGTTGGAAGTTTTTTCTTTAATTTATTTAGGAACGTTTAGTCAACTGTATGAAGGAAAACTCTTGGTATCATTTCGAAGGCATGGTATTTGTTCAAGTAAATGGAAGCAAGTATTGATCAAAACACTAACTGGTTTGTTTTCAGTTTGAATAAATCTTTAAAAAATTTCCTTTTTTTGCTCAAGGTGGTTATTCCCTGTTAGTTTTAATGGATAGTTTAAATGATGTTGTGTCCTAAATCATGATATTCTAGTGACCTTTAAGATATAAAGTTATTTAATGTATATAGCTCTTTAAGATACAAGCAACATTATGAAACCTAATGCCAAAGACTAACAGTTTGGAGTCCGGCTATCTCTGAAAAAATAACACCTTATTTAACGTTAGTTTTCTGCTTGAATAATTGCTGTCGATAAACAGATCCATAAAGCTTCATTAATCAATGATCTTGTTTTTTTCTTTATTCTGAATTGACGAAATGATCTAAGCAGTTCAAATATCCAGTAATAAGATATTAATATCTATGAAGACTATTTATAAGATGTTTCTGATGACATGTAAGTATTTATATATGAAATGATAAAATGGAATAACGATTGGAGAGGTAAATAATTCCAAAAGACTTCCATATTATGATAAACGATAAATGATCTTGGTTTATAAGCCAAATACCGCTTCAAATTAAAGGCCTTTCAAAGGTATAAATTCAAGGAAAACCATAAATGATTTTATTGTACACGTGCTATGAACTAAACTCTTTTGTCGCATCTTTCTCTGAAAGTAGTGTGACAAGAACCTATTGAGTTTTCACTAAGACATTTTCAAAGAAATGTAGTTTTTCTTGTTCAGTAGTACTTTCCTCAAGGTGGAACATTGATAATACGACTTGTATGTCACATTTAAATACCAATAAACTGATATCTATTTTTTTATTATTTTGAGTCCTAGTTATTGTTGTTTCCAATGTTTTTAAATAAGTAAATTAAATAACTATGATTTTCTTCCACATTCTCTACAAGTGGTACTTTGCGAGAATACAACATAAGAAGAAGAGTATCTAAAACTTAGATAAATGTTCTGGAGCACTGAGTTCTTTAATTTTATTTTGAAGTATAGTCTAAGATAAACTGAGCTTCACTGATTTTAATCTATGGGTAAACGCATCGATCCCTATTTTTTCTGTGTGTTCTTGTACACTTAGTTATAAAGAATATTTTATTTGCTTTATTAGTAGTTTGCATTTAATTTATTTCCTCTCTTTAATTATATCATGGTGTCTAACTCACAATAATCAAACAGAAAAAGCCACAGCAGAACAAGTAAGACTTTTTAAAAATGATGCATGTAAATTTGTTGGGGCAAAACATTCACATATAGCGTCCATCATTGCGGCTTCAAGTACATCAGTTTGTGTAAGTTCCCTGTCTAATCAACAAATAATCAATCAACCGATTCTTATTTATTCAAATGCCAAATATGGAAATTTAAAATTGTTCCTGCAAAGGCGATCAAATGGAATGCAGGATGGAAACATGAGACCAAATATGGTAAGTAGTTATTTGTCACTTTTACTACAAAATTGAACACTTGTACTAACCGGTCTAAGTAAATAAATCATTTTTAAGTATTCAGTGTGAAGGCTAAACAAATTTCGTACTACAAATTAAATTTTCCATTAGCATACCATACTTTTGGATATATACTTTATAATTATTGCGCATAACTTTATAGAGTAATTTTTATTAATAAATTATGCCTAGACCAATGATAGAAACATATAGAAGTGTAATAGTTGGATTAATTAGTCGATTTAAGCCAAACCGAAAGTCCTGCGCTCGATTCCCGTGTGTGGGATCGTGGATGCGCACTGATGAGGGGTTCAGTACTAGAACAAAACGGCCGTTCAATGCTTTCAGGTATATTATGCTGGTATAGCTTAAATCGACTCATGAATTCAATATGTAGAAGTATTTCTTTGATATTTTTGTATGTAAATAAATGATACGGAAAATTTGTTTTGACAATTACAACAAAACCACGTCTTCGTATTCCACGACGATAAATATTTTGAAGAGGCTTTTATTACATTCATTTAAAGTGAACATTAATGGTTTGTCTAAAGAAAACAAGTAGTTCATGTAAAACAAGTTCAATCTTAACCTTAAATATATCATCATCATGAGAGATAACTGATCATACAGGACATAAACTCTGCATTTAAACTTAAATGAAGTCTTACAATGTTCTAAATTAAAAAAGATGAAACCTGCTGGTTGATGGAAATTTAATTTTTATCCAATATATATTTTATATAATATCATATGATATGAATGCGTTGAAAATAAAATTTTCGGAAGTTCTATTTCAATAAAGTTTATTTGAATTGCACTGTAAGACATGACTCTAAATAGAATGAGATAGTATGATCATAAATGAAATTGGGGATAATTTAGCTTAGATGTAAACTTTGTTTATCATAAGAATCAGTGTCAACCTTTACTTCTTTAAAACAAAAAAAACTAGATCGAGTTACCAAGGACAACAAAATTTGAACTATATTTGACCTAAATATAACTTCTTTATATTCTAGTTAGTTAAATAAACCTCGCTTTCTGTATAAAGTAAGAACAATGATTTAAACAGGATAAGAGATTTGTTTTGTTTAGGTAGGTTTTAGTTTGCTGTTGATGATCTGTAATGTTTTAAAATCATAGGGAGTTGTGTAAAAGAAATCAGGTTTATACATTGCAGTGTCTCAAAACGATTAGTAGATAACCAAGTTCAAGCCTTCTGTAGCTTGTTAAAACTATTTCTGTCAGACTTCAGAAATATGATTTGTGTTCAAAAAGAGCGTGATGTCATTTCTTGTTTGCTCCAGAAACCTGAACACTGTTTCATTACATCATCGAAATCTCTTTTAGTTTTATTCTTATATGATTAATTCACTGTTTCAGTTTTTCGGTTCTATTCTAGTTTAATAATTTTATTTCCAATCAGTTGGGTTATTAATCATTTTATTTTTATTTATCACTGACGTTTGTTCGTTGCCTGACCAACTGCTTTTAGCCCCTTAATCTCTAACCACTATCATTGTTCCAGAATATCCTTTTGTATACTCTAGATGTTTGAAATATGGTGTACTGAGATGTGCTTATAACAACTTCAAGTTAAGCTTATTTATATCAATATTTTGAACCCACTTTTAAAGCAGTTTGTTTTTAAAGCATTACAGGTTGCAAGAAACTGACAAGAACCCCAAACAAATATGGTGAATTCATAGTGTTTTGGTTAAATCTTCGTTTATGGTTTTTTCAAGTTAAATACAGCTTGTTTATGTTAGTTGTTTAGGTATAAAATGTTACAAATTTATATAATATAGTATTTTCGAGAAAAATTAATGAAGAGATAGGCTGAAACAAAAGATCTATTGATTGAGATCATGAACCGATTGATGTTAGACCACCATAGAAAACCTGGAAGCAATGGACAACCATTTTGTCCCAGTATGGGAGTCTTCAGTAGCGCGCATCCACGACCCCACTCGTGAGATCCGAACCCAAGACCTTCGGTTTCGCGAGCGAACGCTTAAGATTTAGACAACTGAGCCAACATCCAACGGTGTCAATGTCTAGCCTCAACCAATCCACAAAAGATATTCTCAAACGAAGTTGATTAATCACTTCAGAAGGTAGCAGTAGTAGTGGAACATATTTCCTAACTTAGCATATTTTTACTTGACCAGCTACTGATTTAACACTTATATATCGGCAAAAGTGTTTTCCACTGTATTTTGTTTTAAAAATACACCCTTAGAAATTTAATTTTTACAGTAATTATAATAGTTATTATTATTGTTTAGTAAACACCATACTTTCTGTTTATCTACTTTTCGGGAAGAAAATGAATTGAAGTTTGGATTACTCAAAAATGCTAACAAAATGTATTTTATTTATCAGTAATTAGGAACGATTATTATTTATAACTAGATAGTCATTATTTTTTTAATAAAATTTTGAATATTCTTTTGTATAATGTTCATAGATACTTACAGCAGCTCAACTTATCAACATGGCTTTACAAATTCTTAGTGCAGCAGATTATTTGCACAGTATAAATGTGATTCATGAAGATATTGCAACACGAAATTGTCTGTAAGTATATTGTTCTTATCGCTGAATTCATAAAAGTCTTTGGAATAGTTTCAGTAAAAGTTGGTTATTTGTAGAAAATTATCAAGAAGTTTTGAACATAGGTTTCATGTTAGCCAAAGATCCCTTGGAATGGTAACTTTCACTGTTGAATTAAGTAATGTTTCTTCGATGATTGAAATCCGTATCATTCATTTTCATATCCTGTGGCTCTACGACTGAGCTATTTGGTTTGTAACCGACGTTTTGTGGGAGCTTGTGGTCGATTGCAAGTACTTTATTATCACAGAAGGTAGTTAATAACCCAAATGACTTAATTGCAAGGTCAGTGATTATACTGTGAAGAGTTACCTATTCGAATCAGGAATATATCTTTATCCACAGGTTTTCAGACGCATTCAGAAGTGTCAGCTGGCACAAAGTCTAAGTTAAGAGTTCTATCCAGATTACTTTCAATCATTTAACAATTAAATAAATAGATGCAGTCATCCTAATTGTTCGGAGCAGTTCACTCACCACTACATAACTGAATCGCATATTTGAATCAAACTTCAGGGTATAAGATTAATATATTGTACTGCGTTGAAAGACGTAACAGATAAGCGTCCAGTAGGACTAAAATTGTTCGCTCAGTACTAATGTGATTGCCACTGATTGTTTTTTCAAAATGCGCATTTAAAATCCCATCAATGAACAGAGATTGCCAAGGCAATAAATATTACATTGTTTATATGTAAAAAACATGAAGATCTTAAAATGGTTCAGCTTTTTTAAGTCAAATGATATAAATCCTTAGGGTTGTCATAAAATGTCAACTGATGTTTCAGGTTAATTTACAATTATTAGATTCACTCAAGATGCAGATTTTTAAGGTTTGAAATTTATGTTGACAGATAATGAATTTCAGAATATTCATAAAAATAAAGCTTGAAGGGGCTAAAGATAAAAAGACGATTAATTTGATAATTTTACTGAAAACAGTCATTAGCAAGGACGGAAGACAATGTTTCGTTTAGGTTATAACTATACGAATTTCCCTTTCTCTAGCTAACTTCATTTCTAATGTTTATAATGTTTTCTTTTACAAGGTTAAAATGTCAAACACGTGTAGCTCTTAGTGACTCGGCACTCAGTAGAGATCTATTTCCTGAAGATTACCATTGCTTAGGTGATAATACAAATCGCCCAGTGAAGTGGCTAGCATTGGAAGCGTTGATCGAAAGAAAATATACTATGGCAACAGATGTTTGGTCTGTTGGAATAACGTTATGGGAGCTTATTACCAGAGGTCAACAACCTTATGCCAGCATAGATGCATTCGAAATGACAGCTGTACTGCGAACCGGATACAGACTGAAAAAACCTCATAACTGTCCAGATGACTTGTGAGTTTAACCTCTGCTTGTTCAAATTCTGTCGGTAATAACTCAGTTTCTACTGTTTTTATTTTACATTTAGCAGTTGTAAAAATATTTTCAGGATGCCTGAATTCGACTTATTTTAAGCTGAGAATCTGACGATCTAGACTCCACAGATGATCTGGCTCTTCTATTGCACACGCAACAACAATTGCAGGAGAAGACAACCAGTGTAACAACAGCCTCAGCAACAGTACGGCTCAACATACACAAAGAGAGAAGCAAGATTCTCCGATACAGCACAGCATACATCAATCGAATCGCATTTGATGGAGAAGCTTTGAATGATGTAAAAACCTTTGCATATCTGAGCAGCATCATTGATGAATACGGTTGATCTGATGTAGATGTGGAGGCACGGATCGGTAAAGCAAGAGTAGCATATCTAAAACTGAAGCACATCTGGAAATCAATGCAACTGTTCACAAGCCAATACCGAAGTCAGAATTTTCAATACAAATGTCAAGATAGTTGTACACTATGGGGCGAAAACTTAGAGAACCAGACACTATCAGTAACAACCTACGATGAGAGAGAATAAATCAAATCCCAGAGGAGGAAGAAATCAGGAATAGGAGCTGGAAGTGGATAAGACACACATTGAGGAAAGCACCGAACTGCGTCACAAGGCAAGCCCTCACTTTGAATCCACAAGAAGGAGAGGAAGACTAAAGAACAAATTATGCCAATAAATGGAGACAAACATGAGAATGATGAACAAAAATTGGATAGGACTGGGAAGGAAGACCCAGGACAGAGTGGGATGGAGAATGCTGTTCGGCGGACTATGCTTCATCGAGGGTGACAGTCGTAAGTAAGTAAGTAAACAAGCTGAAAATTGTGGATAGTTACAGTAACATGTAAGAGAGTGTGCTTAATACGCCTCAATACAGCATATATTATGAGTGTTATAAACAATAAATTTGAAAAGTAAGCAATATTAGTATACATAGATAGTTAGGACTTTACAGAATACTAGAAGCATTGCATTTTTAGGAAAAAAACATTAATATAAACTGACTATTGCCACTTTTAACTGATCGAATTCCTTTCAAAAATCTGATAATAGCTAGACGCAAGATTACATAATTACGTAGTCACATTCAAATGATTAATTCACTGTTTACCTAAAAATCAAATGACATTATCCCTGTGTACATAAAAAAAGATTTATTATTATTATTATTATTAGTATTAGTATTAGTATTAGATGACAGTTAGAGTTTCCTTCAGAACTTACAATTACTTTTTATTATTGATTATAAAAATGATATTCGGCATAGATAAATTGCTTCGCAATATATATATATATATATATATATATATATATATATATATATATATTCCTCACTGAAATATTTTTAATTCCTGTGGCAATAAGCATAATAGTCCATAATATATGAAAATCTTTTATTTAGAAAATATTAAATTAGGTTATTGTACATTGAGAAATGCAATTAAAACAAACTATGATGAAATTTTGTGCTTCAACGATATGGTTGTTTACTATTTTATCCAATAAAATGAACAAAACTGTGGTACTTTAATGGTTTTTTATATGCTAAACAAAGTTTTTCAACTAACTACCCATGAGATATTATGCACTTTAAGAAACTAGAACAGCTGTTGATAAAATAAATATCTTAAAAATAAATCGGTTAGTTACAAATTGAATATAAAAGCTTCCGAAAATCGGTATATAGATAACATATGTTATTTTGTTGATCAAATATAACTTAGTAACATTTACGTTCCAATATTTATGTAGGTTAAGTATACTATGATTTCAATTTAAAGGCTTTCATAATTAGATGAATATAATGTACTTTTGTGATCTATAGTTAACGTGTTGTTTGGTTTTATAGTAAACTTTTCCGTTTAATCAGGTCAAATCTGAGTAAAAATGACATTGAGTATTTTGTTTGTGTGACATAGTTCTCTAGATGATGAGATTTAATTTTGAACAAAGAAATTTTATCTAAATTTAAATTTCTATCCCTAATAAAGGTTACTAGAGTAAATAGCTACATTATTGTATTTATAACATTTATCATTGACGTACAGCCTAATATAATATCTGAATAATAATCTATATAGTATTAAATGAAGTGTGGTGATAAATCAGAAAAATTGCGTAACATTGAAGATTCAGTGCAAGAAGCATCTTCTGTAATGAATGTGATTACATGAGAGAGTCAGAAAACTAATTCCAGATAATATTTAAAGTAATTATCATCTTATAATTGTATTTACATTTGGAGGCATATTCAACCACTTTATCAATAATAACTGCTATCAAAGAGGAGAATTAGTTCCTTAAAAAGATTTGCTGAGGTTAAAGAAAAAATAAATTGTCATTCAATCTACATAAATCTGGTTATTATCCGCAATTTGCTATCATGTATTTTTAATGAATAGTGGTATCCAGCTACTTTAACTTAAATTTTTAACCTTCTCTAGATGTCATTATATTCATCCACATTTCTTACTCTGATATGTAAAACTCTATCATCATATGTATTGTTATACTTGCTTACTTACGCCTGTTACCTCTCATGGAGGAGCATGGGCCGTACACAAGCACTCTCCATCCAATCCTGTCCTGGACAATCCTTTCTAGTTTCGATTCATCCTTTTGATGTCTGATTCTATTTCCCAACGTAATGTGTTCTTTGGCCTTCCTCTTTTCCGCTTTCCTTCAGGATTCGAAGTTAGTGCTTGTCTCGTGATGTCGTTTGGTGATTTCTGTAATGTATGTCCTATCCACTTCTAACATCTTTCTTTATTTCCTCTCCAGGTGAGAGCTCGTTTGTCCTCTCCCACTGATGATTGTTGCTGATGGCATCCGGCCAACGGACATTAAGTATCTTGTGTAGACAACTGTTTTGAAATAAGTATACATTCTTGATGGTGGTTGTAGTAGTTCCCTACGTTTCAGCTCCATACAGTAGGACTGTCTTGACGTTCGTATTAAGGATTCTGGCTTCGATATTGGTTGACAGTTGTTTTGAGTTCCATATGTTCTCCAGTTGTAGGAATGCTGCCCTTGCTTTGCCAATCTTCGTCTTTACGTCTTCGTCTGATCCCCTTTTTTCATTGATAATGCTTCCCAGCTACGTGAAAGTTTCCACATTTGCCAGATTTTCTCCGTCAAGTGTGAATTAGTTGGTGTTCTTCATGTTGTATCTGAGGACTTTGGTTTTCCCCTTGTGTATGTTGAGGCCTACTGATGCAGAGACTGCTGCTACACTGACCGTCTTTATCTGCATTTGTTCGTGGTTATTGAATAGGAGAGCTAGATCATCTGTGAAGTCCAAATCGTCTAATTGATTCTGAGCATTCCATTGCATTCTGCGCTTTCTTTCAGATGTTGAGGTCTTCATAATCCAGTCAACCATCAGAAGAGGAAAGGGGAGAGTAGACAGCCTTGTCTGACTCCGTACCTTGGAATGCATCTGTCAGCTGTCCTCTATTCACGACTTCGCACTTGAGTCCGTCGTATGAGTTCTGGATAGTGTTGACAATCTCAGGAACTCCATAGTGTCGAAGAAGTTCCGATAATATTTTCCTGTCCACATTGTCAAACGTCTTCTCATAGTCAATGAAGTTGACGGATAGTGATGAGTTCCACTCAACCGATTGTTCGATTATGATCTGTAGTGTCGCAATTCAGTCTGTGCATAACCGATCTTTACAGAATCCAGCCTATTGATCTTGAAGTTGGGTATCTACTGCGTCTGTCATTCGGTTCAGCAATACTCTGTTGAAAACTTTTCCTGGTACTGACAGTAGTGTGATGCCGATTTAGTTCTCACATTTGCTGCATTTGTTATAAAAAGCATATTTTCTTTGCTTAAATCTATCCTTACAAGTAAAGAAAATGGTACTTTCTTGTAGGTCTAACTATATTTGTTGTTAAATTTTTGTAAACAGATTAGTTTCATGTATTTTTGATCATTTATTTATTCACATAAACATTAGTACAAGGAGGCACCAAATAGATATGCGTCACATAAATCATTCGATTTGTGTGAAAGCTGGGATACTGTCCGGGTGACAAACTGAAATAGATGGTTTTCTTAGGAGGCCACACTCAGAGCCTTTATCTAAAGGTCTGATCCACAATGCAGTGGAGCAACGTCAGGAGATACAGTCCCATGGTAGCCGGTGACCAACGATAGGTTCATACACCATTTGTTTCCTAAGGATACTGAAACCCATGTACACCACTGGTTTGGAATCAGGGATTTCCAACTTCCCTAGGTAGATCCTCCGTATCCACCAACCCAATTAAAGCTCTGAACATTCGCTTTTCGTCTTTTCAATTTCGTAAACAACATCCCCGCCACAAGAAGGCAGTGAGTAGGAATTCCTTCGCAGAGGCTATATACGCGTGGCCATGTGAGAGCATTTCGAGATTGAGAGCTGACTACCCTCACGCTCAGCCATATCAGGGCATTTAACTTTTTATTTATTGAAAAAAACGTATTACAACTAGTTGAAAAGTTAATCACTGATAATCCTGTCATAACAATATACTATAAACAATACAAAACACAAATGTTCATTTTATAAGCTGGCAATGATCAGAACTGTAATCAAAGTAAAACATTACTTAGCAACTATTGTTTCTTCAATATGACATTTGAACAAAGTCAATAGTAATATTCTTTTAAATTTTCACTTTAAATGTAAATAAATTTTATTGAATACGTTTAATTTTATTATCCAATTAATTAAAGTCTATTTACTTTCATTTTATTTTTTTTTTAAAAAATTATTAAATAGATGGAAAATTATATTTGCATGCTGGAAAACAAATCCTTCTGCTCGACCAACAATTCGTCAACTTATTACCAAATTAAAAGCATTCAAAGTTGCAGTAACCAATTATATTTAATTCAAAATAAATATTAAAAAAAAAGAAAATCTAGATAATATTTTATTAAATAAGAGAACATGGTAATTCATATTATATTTAGTATTTTTAAATATAGATGTATGTAAACATAGAATTTATTTGCATTCAGATTAAATCTCTTGTTGGATAATAAATATTCAAAGTATTATTCAAATGAAATGGTATCTATCAAGTATTTCATTATTACAAATTATGATGAAATTTATATGTAAGAGAGTTTTATATTAGTAATATAGTATAGTATCTACGTATAATATAAGTACTATCTAAATTACAGAGGTTTTCCTAAAAGAAAATCGAATTTGAATGATTTACATAGATAACTCTAAGTAGTTGCACTTATAACAAACAATACAACTATAATAATCCATATGATATACAATAGATTCATATAACTGGATACTTTAAAGATTATATAAGTTAATATTAATCTATAGAACATGAAAAGTAGAGATTTATTGATTAAGCTATAAATTTATAATCAGAAGAATAGATTTCCCTTGAAACATAGAGTTACTATAATTTATCGAAAAAATGCAAACTAAATCTTCTTTTATGATAGACATAATAGAACAGTCATTTAAATAGCGATATTAAGTTGACAGTAGACTTTGGAAATTTAATGAAGTTTTGTTATTAAAACGGTATGTAAATAACCATGGATAAGTTTGTTAGTGACTTTATGCAGATAATCTTTTTTTGGGAATGAAACTTGAAGATCAATGTATTTTAAAATAGAACACACAATTTATTATTCTTAAGATAGCATTTTCTATGAACAGGACAAATACTACTGCCTTATTTATTTCATATATCATTACTCTGTTATATAAATACTACGGGTGATGCATATATATGTTGTTTATTACTTAAATACTCATTTTTAAACTCCTTGTTGTGAATTTATTTATTTGTCGACAATGTGTAGAATTAGCAGATACTAGCTTCGAGATATAAATCTTAGAGTTCTAATGAGAAGTCGTGATCACTGGAAATCAATCTGTGTTGAGTGTGAGGTAGTTGCCCATTGAAGACAATGGAAGATAGTTGCGCAATATCATATATTGGGTGAGGTCGAACATTAACACAGTTGGATGCTGGCTAGGTGGTTCAGAGTTAAAGTGTTGTTAATAAACGTATGTTGGTTTTATCAACAACCAAGTAAATGTTCAATGAAACCTGTTTTTCAAAAGTTATTCAACCCGACTTGGTTCGTGAATTGAAACCACAAAATCCGACAACATTCTCACCACTCTGTATTACAAAATTCTATCATTTGTTACGCCTACCCAATAAGGATTCGACTATTTAAATTATAATATAATTTTTAGTTTTCTGATCGCTATATCAACACTACAACAAAAATAAAAAGAGGTCACAAAATAATACAAATGCATAAAATTCTAAATTTCCATAAACATTTGAGTAGAGATCGGAACTACAATGGTATGGTTCAATTAATGGTTCATATACTCGAATGATGAAAGCAACTACAAATAATTCAGTCAGTGTAATGACACTGAATAGTAACGAAAGCATTATCAGAACGTCGTAAAACAATATATCATCGATATTCGCCATGCCTAGTAGATGATAAAGTTTGGTTTAATTGAGGATTATTTTTACTTAAAGATGTCAGAAAATGTTGAAAGTTCTTCTACAAAACTGTTCACATACCTTCACAGAATCAATTTCTATGTGGCTTCATCCTAGAAATCACTGTTCATTTAGATCATCAAACAAACATATTATCATTTCCTTCGTCTTAGCTGTTGTTCAAATGTGGGATCTTTCAATTTGTACATCGAATATTCACAAATTCTGAAAATATATTTAATGTGACAAATGAATAACTTGAACCTTCTTTTAAATAATAAGGTTGATAAAAATTAATGACTATTTCATGCTTCTGGAACCAGTTATTATTGACTGAATAATTGCCAGCACTGATAAATAAACATAGAACTATGTACAAAGAATATTCCTATTCAATAAACTGTCTTCCTGTTCTACAATGATGTGTCCAATTTAAAATATTGTAAATATGATCAAATGTAAGGCCAATATATATATATATATATATATATATATATATATATTCAAATTATAACGCGTGAATTCAGGATTATTAGTAAAATAAAATAAAATAAAATTGTTATTGTTTAGATGAATAGTACATTGTCTTAACTTGGATAAGTTTATATTTTAAATGAAATTGTGGGATTAATGACCGGACATAATATGGGCAACATGTGGTGATGGAGAGAAAAGTGCAATTACAAATCAGAATATAAGTTTAGTCAAAAATTACGTAATATGTAGTATAATATGAGTATGTAGTATGATATCCACCTCAGGCAATGGGAGATCGTCACTCAAGATCACGGATCGATTGAAGTTAATTATTAAGATTGTTGTATGTTGACTAATTGGTCTAGAGAATAAGTATTTGCGCGCGAGATCGAATGTCCTGAGTTCGGATTCCACCAAGTCTAACAGACAGTAATCTTAATTTCAATGAATTTATCATTTAAGTTTACTGAACGACCACAATCCTTAAATCGTCGTCATTATTTTTCTTTCATCAAATTATAATTCAAGCCGCTTGATGTTACGGTTCTTATCAATATCATAAGGCATTTAGCATTTAATTTCAATACCTAAATCTTGCAACACTTTTTCAGAATATTGGGGTTTTATACTAGTTATACTAGTAATTAGGCGAATAGATGCCTAAAATGAGATATATCGATATGATTTATTTTATTGAACTATTGTATTCGTTTGAACTAATCTTGTATCGCTTTCATCCAAACATATACTTGGAATTTATCATGTGAGTACTGAACGTTTGCAAGCGTCATAATAGTAATTTGTAAGAATTAGTTTAATCTGTGAAAAGGCAAAGAGGAAGTCTGTTAACACATTAGTAACATTCTCACCAGATTATCAGAATGATTGTTAACTTATTAAGCCAGAAGTTGATCAAGGTAAAGGGATCGGTTAAACATATTTCTTATCGACACAATGTTACCGCATTTCGATCTGTCTTGTCAACCTCGATCATGATTGATTATTGTTATTCTTTGACCTCTCATTGTCTACTTCTATATTTTGATTGTATCTTCCACTTATTTGATTCTTGATCCTATATTAGTCTATGAAAAATGATGATGTTGTTCAGAAGAACAATAAAAGCTCCTTGAATAAATTATCCAGTTTAGACGACAAAAGTCTACTTAAATGATCTAAAGTTGATTTTAATATTTAAAATAATAATTTATTCCATCTAAAAGTACAGTTATTACATCAAGTTAATATTCCAAGAAAAAAATGAAACAATTCATAAAGTAAATTACACTGAAATGAGATTAAATTAACTAAATAACTGAAGACAAATGATGCATATGACATTTTGTTTGCATGCTTTTTTTCTGAAAAAAAAGAAATTAAAACAGACAAGAAAGATAATAAAAACAAGTCAATTTGATGGGAAAAGAAATGATAAAGAATTTCAATTATCTCGACGCTTATATATACAAAAAAGGGAGAGATTATTGCGTCATTTTCGATAGAAGAAATTGAATATTTTCAATGGTCATTCACCCTCTTTTCTTTAATTTTAGAAAAGTTCCTAAATTTCTATAGATTAACTAATTTTCTTCCTAAAATTTCTTTTTTTAATTTTTTTCATGATTATCATTATCTTTGTAATTAAACTTCTTTCTAGGAAGAAAAAATATTAAGAGAAATTATACAATGCAAATTATCTTACAGGCATAAATGTGTTTACTTTCACACAAAGAAGAAAGCTTTAATTATACATTCCATTATCATCATTGTTTTGTAGCTGGGACGTGTAAAATGGTAAAGAAATATAGAGAAAAAGAGATTTAAAGTAAATCGTTAGGATTAAAATAAACCAAGAAATATTTTGATGATTGATACATCATATATTATTGTTGAGTATAGAAGCTGAAAGAAATAATAATGGTCATTTGCTTTATTAATGAATTATGATTTCTAATACTAAAGTAAGTAATAATACATGAATGTTCGGAATGTAACTCCCTCCCTATAAACATATGACTTTATTTCCGGATTGGTATAGTATAATGCTGAAGTAGTTGAACTTATTGATCGTTTTACTGATTTTTTGAGGTATAACAAACCTTGGTCTTGGTGGTTAAAGTAATCTAAGCATGAATGAAAGCTTTACCTTTCTAATGCTAGAAAGATGTTTGTTTATCTATTAAACATCGAGAATACCGAATAACTGTATCCAGTTTCATCTGATTATCATATAACTTTACCGTTATCATTGAAATAATGTTTTCATATCTTTCTTACATTACATAATTTTGATATGAAGCATGATAAGGAACGGTATTTGAGATGAGAGTGACGTCGAAATAAGCAAACTGCTCACAGAAGCGAGAATTGGAAATTCTATAGGATTTTATAATAATATTACCATTTGACTTAAAATTTAATAACATAACTAACCGAATAAATCACATTACAGTTTCCCTATTAATTTCTTCAATAGATTTATACATCCACACATACAGAGTTTTCATTTGACATAAAAACATATTTATATCTGAGAAATCTGGTGAATTAACAATGTTTGCATCATGATATGTGGCAACAGATGATATTCTTAGGTAGTCAAAATCATAAATGATATTTAAGAAAATATTTCATTGCATGTACTAAAGGTAATTGCTGATAGTCACGATAATAAAATTTCCAATTCAAATACTGTCATGCTATTCATTTTTGGCGACAGTAATCAAAGTATTTTTATTTCTACTAACAGCTAAATGGTATTTTAAGATTGATCAATGCAATCACTTTCATAAAAATTATTGTCTTGTATAATGTGTTGTTCTTTTTGTTTTGTTCAAAGTTCTCAAAGATTTTGATAGTCTTCACCAGAATACAGTAAATGAACTTGAAAGTATTCAACACAATTA